AATTGTAAATTATATTCTGTTAGCAACTGATGCAGGGAATGTAACAGTCTTGCTAGTGTTGTGCTCCTAGATCGTAGTGCTGCCTTTGACACAGTTGACCATTGTATATTGCTACACAGGCTTGAGTCTCAGGTTGGCTGAAGTGGTTTACCTCCTATTTCATTAACCGTTTTCACTATGTTCAAACATCTAATATTTATACTGCTTCGTCACTGTCACCAGTTAAATTTGGGGTATCACAGGGATCAGTGCTTGGACCAGTATTGTTCTCTCTGTACATGTTGCCGCTACTGTAGGTATGATTATATGAAAGCATAATATTAACTTTCATTCCTGTGCTGATGACACTCAAATATACATTTCATTTACACCTATTGACACCTCGTCAATTGTCACTTAAGCTAATTGCATTAATGAAGTAAAGTCTTGAATGTGTGAAAACTTTTTGTCACTCAACTCTGATAAAACTGAAGTTCTGTTGTTTGGAGGCAACAGTGTGGATAGGACTGCTATAACCTCATCACTCAACTGTGAGGGTTAAAAATTTTGCCTCAAAGATTCGGCACATAATTTAGGTGTTATCTTAGACACAAGGCTCTCATTTAACTCTCATGTTAATGCAGTATCGAAGCCGTGCTTCCTACAGTTAAGAAACATTGCAAAACTAAGGTATTTTCTTTCCACTCAAGACACAGAGAAACGAATAAATGGTTTTGCATTTAGATTTCTATAATGCCCTACTATCAGGGAGCACCTATAGCACCTTCAACACCTTACAGCTAATTCAAAACGCGGCAGCTAGAAATGTTACCAGCAGTAGAAAATATGACCACATAACGCCTATACATAGCTCTCTCCATTGGCTTCCTGTTAGGTACAGGGCAGACTTCATAATTAGATCACAGAACGCAGGTCTTCTTGCTTATTCCACATATTAATAAAAAACAGATTTCTGAGAATCGTATAATCTTAGCATGCCCAGAGGGGTTGGGAAGCCAGTTGACCTCTCGCAGTCCTTACAGAGGGGTTTTTGGTTCCTCTCCTCCATTATCTTCTGGCTTTTTCTTTTTCTCTTTCTGTATTGTAATGT